ATTTGAAAGCATGCAAATGCAAGTAGATAAATAGGGACCACCTCGGTGGGAAGGTAACGGCGTTCCGTGTCTAAGTCGCACTTCCCCGATTGCTGAAGCCTTGCTCAGTGATCCTTGCCTTACCTCTCCTGAATCCCTAGACCCTCCTGCCTTGATATGCTTCCTCCTGGCTTTGACCCCTGGACTATCTCACCATGATTTGCATCATCCTTCTACCAGGCTACTATTTGGACTCAAAACCCCAGCTGGTTGGTCTCTGTTTGGGCTGTGGGGTTGGCTCTACCTTGTTCCTCTAGTGTCACCCTGGACTGGGTCCCAGTGCCTCTCCTACTGAACCATGACATTAGTAACCCAAGTAAGACTACTGGCCAAGATTCAAAGTGTCAGTCAATTATGAAGGATCATACATTATCCTCCTTCATAAGACTCTAGCAGATATAAAATGAGATAAAATGTAAATATGTTTTACTATTTATATGTAATACTTGTTTAATTCATTTTTAATATTTGTATACCTACTGTTTTTTGCTTCTACATAATGTTGATGTACATAATGATGTAAGCCACCTTGGTTTCTTTTTAATGAGAAACATGGGGAAAATATTTTAAGAAAATAAAGTAAATAAACAAAAATAGCTCCACATACATCATAAATAACCTCCTTTAAGGAAAGATTGAACAGAAGTGCAACAAATATTGATAAGATGACCTGTTCTCTATTGCCAGAAAAAAGCAGATACGGATCAAATGGTTTTCAATGCATTCCAATGGGAATGCAGATTTTGACCTGCGAACTTTTTGACATGCGAACCGCCTCCCAATACACATTAAGTTCGCAAGTCAAGACCCCACTGTAATGATGTAAGCCACCTTGGCTTCTTTTTAATGAGAAACATGGGGAAAATATTTTAAGAAAATAAAGTAAATAAACAAAAATAGCTCCACATACATCATAAATAACCTCCTTTAAGGAAAGATTGAACAGAAGTGCAACAAATATTGATAAGATGACCTGTTCCAAAACATGTTCAACAAGTTATAACACCAAAGGCCAAAAGCACCAAAAAGCTGCAATCTTCCACCATCATAAATTATGACTTGAAAGCAGAGCTTGGAAAATTAGTTTTTCTTTTGGCGACAACTCCCAGAACTCCCCAGCCAACATGGTCAGTAACCAAGGTTGTAAGGAAATTCTGGGAATTGGGTGCCAAAAAAGTAATTTTCCCAAGTTCTGATTAAGAGTTACTATGAACTTTCCAGATAAGTACACATATAATAGGATACAAAGACCTCCAAACCTCCTAAGGCAATATATTTGACTTTCTCTGCTCTACTGTATAAGTAATAGTATTACACAGAAATCTATCCCTCTAAAAGTCAAGCAACAAACTGCTAAAACTAGTTATGATTCATCTAGATTTAGGAACAAAAGAAACATGCTTCACTAATCAGAGAATGGTTTTTGCCTTTACAATGTTTCATTGAAAGCTGATCTGATACTACAAATCACAAAGCCTAAATCTTCTGAAGCACAAAGCTCCATCTGATATAGTGATAAGAGCACTGACTGCTTCAGTACTGCTCAAAATGTGGGAGATATTAAGTACCAATGTTATCAGTCACATTCAAGCAATATATGGTTTAAGAACCATATACTATTTGCCTGCAAGGTGGAGACAAGCAATTCTATACATACCTAACTGCGACATTCCCCCTGCCAAATTATTTGTTCCAAACACACATACCTGTAAAAACTTAAAGAACCTGGGGCAGGGGCAGAAGCTACACTCTAATTTTAATCTGATAATGAAGTATATGGAGGATCCTGATCAACTAGGAGAGCAGGAGGGATAGCAAATGATGAGGCACCACATCAGTTTAATCTCTCAGTCACTGTGGCAACCCAACCACATAGTGGGGAGAAGACTCAGGACCAGACCAAAAGACAAGGAAATACAGTGGTGCCTCACTTAACGGGTGCCCCATTTAACGACAAATCCGCATAGCGACAGATTTTTTGCGATAGTTTTTGTGATCGCATTGCAATGTTTCTAATGGGAAAAAATCGCTTTGCAATGATCGGTAAGCTGTTTCGCTTACCAATTTTTGCATAACGATGATTTCCCAACAGCTGATCGGTGGTTCCAAAATGGCTGCCAGGTAAAAAAAATTGCCGCCCGCTGTGTTTTTACCCAGATTCCTCGCTTACCGGGCAGCAAAAATGGTGGCCGTATGGAAGATTTTCGCATTAAGGTGAGTTTTTGCCCACAGGAACACATTAAATGGGTTTTAATGCATGCCTATGGGCTTTTTTATTTCGCATAGCGACGAAGCCGTATAGCGACAATTTTGGCTGCACGGATTATCGTCGCTATCCGGGGCACCACTGTAATACAAAGTATAGAGCAGTGGCAGAGATGTTTCTGTTTCAAAATAGTGGTGCTACGGGTTAAACTACAGAAGCCTCTGTGGTGCAAGGTCAGAAGACCTGCAGTCATAAGATCGAATCCATGTGACAAAGTGAGCCCCCATCACTTGTCCCAGCTCCTGCCAACCTAGCGGTTCAAAAGCATGCAAAATGCAAGTACATAAAGAGGTACCACCATGGTGGGAAGGTAATGGTGTTCCATGTCTAGTCACGCTGGCCACATGACCACGGAAGATTGTCTTCAAACAAACACTAGCTCTATGGGCTAGAAACGGAGATGAGAACCGCCCCCTAGAGTCGGACACAACTGGACAAATCGTCAAGGGGAACCTTTACATTTATACAGAGCTTTACAATACTTCCTAAACAACTGAAGAGCAGTCCAGCATATTTCAGAAGGAAGAACATCTAAAAATTCAAGTTTTTAAAAGGAAATTCTTCCTGAACACCACAATTAACTGTATTTCAGAAAGAAACCTTCAATATTTTGAAACAGAAACAATCTGAATTTTAGAAGAAGCTATCATACAAATATAAGCAAAGTCACTTTTGTCACATCCAACTGCTGCTATCAAAATGTGGGAGTACTACAATGACAAGCAAGTGTGCTTCCCAAAGCCGAGACTACCATATGTATAACCATGCTGCATGAAATATTAGAGCACAGATGTTTATGAAAAAGTGTTGCTGTACAGATAAAAAGGGGGATAGCATGAGCTGGTTAGACAACAGATTCCAAGGCAGAGCAGGTTCAATTTAAGCAGGAAGTTATTTACACCCAAGCAAAAATAACTATCAATTGCTTATACAGTGGTAAGGTCTAAATGGGCTACAAATACACTAGGAATATCTTATTGTCATCTTCAGGAATATCAGTTTCTTCATAATACTGCCACAAAGAAGTAAATTAAAGCATCAGGAATTAGAACATGGACTAAAAGTAAGACAAAGCTATCTTAAAAGCTATAATGTACTCATATTTGCAATGCTGAACACAGTTGTGGCCATGTTTGATCAAGAACCAGAGCTGGAGAAGTTAAGATAACCAATAATAACAAGGAAAGGGAACATCCTATATGAAATATGACACTCAAGGACATCCCATCCTTTGTCTATCTAACGAGCCTATTCAGACCAGGGGGAAGTGAAACCAATGTCGAAGATATATCAGGGGTCTCCTACCAACTCTCCTCGGACTGAAAAAGTTACCTGGATGAATAGTGAAACGTTTCAACCTAGTAAGAAAGAAATCCAGTTGCCTCAACTTCCAGACAACCTCACCTGGATGACTGAGAATCTTCACAGATATAAGAAACTCAAGGTTTTCTAGTTCAAATTTAAGAGCCTAAATTGACTGATTTCAATGTGGAATACTAAAATGATATAAAGATATAAAAATGAGATTTTGAGTAGAAATCATTTAGTTAAAATACCATGAACTTGGATCAGCCAGTGAAAATGACCATCACAAAGTTCAGCACAGAAAAGCACTTTCCTACATAACATACAATTAACTTACTGAATTAATAGTACAAATTACAGCCAGCGCCTTCAATGCCTTTAAAAAAAAAATCAAGATAGCTGAACAATGAGCAATGCTATTGATAGCTATGAGCCAAAATAGTACAAATTATAGTCAGCGCCTTCAATGCCTTTAAAAAAAATCAAGATAGCTGAACAGTGAGCAATGCTATTGATAGCTATGAGCCAACACAGTGAAATAGAAGTGGCAATATACCACTGCCATCAAGTGAGAAAAACCAGTATATGTATACCTCCACAATGTTTTATGTCTGAACTTAAAGCAAATCGCCTTTAGGCACTGCTGGAAAGAGATTATTTTCTTAGATGGTTCTCTGGTCAAAAGCAACAGAGCTATTCTTATGCTAATTAGCTTTACAGTAATGGGATAAATTTAACTGTGTCATGAGACTCTTTGCACTAACTTTTCAACACACTACAAAATCCTGACGAATGGATTCTACATCAGGTCAGCATCTACACAAATAATTCCAGTCACCCAATGTTGCATTTGAGTATAGAGAAAGTGGGTTTTTGCCATTAAATCCCATTTTCTACATATGTGTATCCTTCAATTGCTCTTCAAAAAGTTGGAGAACTCCATGTAGAACAGTGTGGGTTTGATATGGGGTGTCTGTAAAGGAAGGTGAGAATGGACTGCTTGCTTCCACTAACAAGAGCCTCCACTGCACAAAAAACCTTCTGCAAACAGAACAAAGTAGAATTAAAGCAAATGGATTTTATTTAACTTGCAAGGTGAACCGCCACAAGGGAGAACATTAATTTTCAAATCATCAGGACAATTAATTTCTCATACTTGCTTTTAATAAAAATTTTAGAAGGGTAGCTAGGAATGAAACAATTTTGCAGCAATCACAGCATCTAAGCAGTCAGACCTGAACATGTAACAAACTACCGTACTTTACTCTCTTTCCATTCTAAAATAAGTGGAGCACGGCATGATAGGCAGATTCCAGTGCTACAGGTCAATCTCTAGCAGAAAATTCTAGTAAGTTGTTTTACAGATATTTGAGGAATTCTTAATAATTACCTTTTGGCTTCTTCTAGATGACATAAATACTCATAAGCAATATTCTGACGCCGTCTTTCATCCATCTCCTCTGCTGAAAGCCGTTCATCATCCACAATAGCTGAAAATATAAACTCATGTCAAATTACATATAATAAAGGGTGATCATTACAGCAATTTTACTGAAGGAAAAAAACCAAGTTTCTAGAGATGAACAATTGTTCATTATAGGCTGGACACATTAGCTCCATGCACACAGCTTGTTTTCATGTATAAACAAATACATGTTTTAACGTATTTGAAGAAGAAGAAGCTCTTAAAATGTTCACAGGGCTTTCCATTCAGCATTTAACAGTTACCTCAACAAGCTTAGGAACTTAAATACTTGACATACAGTATGTCTACCTCAGTCTGACAAAACATCCTCTACAAATAGTTAAAATGTAGTTTTTAATATAAGAAAATATCCACTTTTTAAACAAGTCCTAGGCTTCTGTCTACTCAGCTATAAGATATATTCTCCAAAGTATGATGTAAAAAGAAAAAAGATTATCTCTACAGTAACCTTCAGAAGGATCTTAGACAGTCAAGATCTGAAGCAACAGAACATATAAATAATTAAACAACAGCATTCCAGTGAATCATTAAAATGTACTGAGATTCAAAATGAGTGTGATACTTTATCTTGGAAAAGTCATACCCTTACTAAATAAAACCCTAAGTGAAAAAGTAATAAAAAGAAACTAAGTGCAATTTAACAATAAAACCTTATGAACATTAATACATAAGGGACTAAATAGTTTGACTTGCTTCCTCTGAGGAAAAAAGGATTCCATTAAAGACTAATGACTGTTTCATGAAATCAAACTGCACAAACCTACTTGAAAAACAAGGTAAGGGCATGTCCAGATCGGGGAAGCTGAAGTGGTCTGATTTACACTTTAAAAGTTCTTATTTTTATTGTTCGTCTTCCTTCCAATTAATAACACTCTCCATCCCCTTCCCCACCTTTTCCCATGGCCATCATTCAGCAGACTATAGTGCCTTTCTTTTTTGTTGTTGTCAAATTAATAAATGACACAGCGGAACAGCTAAGCATCTAACTAGCATGGTACAGGTTCTCCAGCATCCCTTTCAATGCCACAACCCCACCAAACACATCACAGGGTCTACAGCTTTATTTGGGTGTGAATTAACCATCCACACAGGTCACAGAATGTGATAATCAGGAGCACTATGAATAACCCCCTAAAAAACTGTAGCCTTAGTTGCTGTGCCCAAAAGGAGTAGGGCAACTCTAAGAAGGGGTGGGATGGATCACTCTATGCCAAAACACATGTGGACAGCATAATTTACCATAACTCAAACCACACAACACCGAAAGCAATCCAAAGAATGAGCTATATGCCAGCTTGCCCTAAACTGTCAATCCTACAAGCTTCTCACTTGCCATTGCATAACATGACTTGGCTCATTTGGATGAGCCATCTGCAGCTGTTATCTCTACAAGTACATTTACCTACTGGTACACTCGTGGTACAGTGCCTAGATAGATCTGTGCGGAGTATCTGGGGAAGCAAAAGTAAGTTGAGCTATAGCAACTTTCAGTGGAAAAGCATGTCCTGATCCCACTGTGGTCTGAAATTATTTTCAAGTCACTAAGTTTAGATGGAAAATTATTTTCCTCTGCATGACATGTGCTACCCAAGCTATACCTCACAATGACTGTTAAATGCTACGTTTTATTATGAACAGATTATTTGGTAGTGCGTGAGAAGGTACTTAAGGGCACAGGGCAGCTCCAAGCTACTTTTCCTTCAAGAAGGCCCAGTTTATACATTTTGAGAACCATTAGAATACAGAATTGGAACTTCAATCATACCCACTATTTCTGCAATGATTTCTGGTATTCTATACAATAAATCTCAGGGCAGCCCCCTTGCAAATGGGGATATGTAAAATATTTAGAGGAAATCAAAATCATTTCTCTGATCAAAGACACCAGACAACTAGAACAATGACAAATGAAGAGGCAAAGATTAAAATAGTTATTTTGCAAATATGCCCTTGGGATCCATTTTTGTTAATAATAATCAAGCATACATAGGCCATGTGCCTAGATTCATTATATCCATGCATACAATTATTATAAAGATTTGTGCACAGATTAGGTAGACTTCAATAACCTGCCCTTTTCTAACACAAATAATGAACCTTTAAAATATTGCTTGATTATTAGATAGTCAAATCCACTGCAAAAACTAAAATTGGATAATAAAAATTAGTAGAACAGAGTAAAATAATCAAATTGACTGAAAACCTCCCACAATGACTAAACAGCCTTGTTAGCTCTGATCAACATCATCTGACATGCAGACCTTGCCACCAATCCCCTAAAAGCACCAGTACTCTACCACTGGACATGGAATTTTTATTTATCACAACTACCTGTTGTTCATACATCTGTCCTCGAATTTCTTTAACTGGGTTTCACAGTATTTTAATCTAATTTTTTTAATCCATTTGCTTCTATTCAGCAATTTATGGGTTAAACTTCCACATTCTCTTTTGTGGGTACTGATTAAAAGCTTTCACAACTACACACAACAATACAACTTTGACATTTATGATTGCAGGGCAGAGGAAGTGATATGAATGTTTTCAGCAGTTATCCATTTATCTCAGCCTGAAATAATATGCTTGTGACTCCAGACTATCAGATTACAGATTATGTACAGACACAGAGACTTCATGAGCATCACCTCTATATTTTAAAACCACTTTTTATACCAGAGTAGGACTGCTTCTATATGAAAGTCAAATTGGATTAGAAGAAAAGTGCAGACAGTGGTTTCCATTTTTATAAGATACAGAACAAATGCCCATTACACCTAATGGGTGTGAGAGAGTGAGCAGAGAAAGAGGTATATTCAGACAAATGTTCATATTTGAAAAGTCTTGCTTAAGACCAGAAGATCAATCATAGAACAAAGTAAAATTATTTGCAGCATGTCTGAGATGAGAAAAAAAAATCCTTTTGTGCACTCAGATGTTTTTATCACTTCCAATATTTTGTCTTCTAATGATATATAATCTATAACAGGGGTTGTCAATCCCCGGTCCATGGCCCAGTGCTGGTCCGTGGGCTTACCGGAACTGGGTCACGGATATGGATCTCCACCCCCTGCCCGCAAGCACTGTGAGTGTGTCACGCTTGTGGGGGGGTGTTGCGCCTGTGGTGGGTGTGTCATGCCCGGGGAGGCATGTCACACTCACATGTGGGCGTCTCGCACCTTCAGGGACGTGTCATGCTCGCGCACATGCGTATGAGTGCAACACACCCACCGCAGGCACGACGCACCTACCATGCAAGCATGACATGCCCACTGCGCGGGCGCAAGGGTGCCCCCGCCCCCCGCACATGGACCTTGCTCTCCCCAACCGGTCCGCAGTCCCAAAAACATTGGGGACCGCTGTTCTATAATACTGTTAACCGGGGCTGGTCACAGGGATCCCATAGAGCAGGGATCCTCAACCTTTTTCGTAATGCGGACCGGCGGAGCCTCTGAGGGAGGTGGGGCGGCCCTTTGTGCTCACACATTCCCCCACCGCTTCGCGCATGTGCAGGAGCGCCTGCCCACCCACACGACCACCCCCACCTCTGCCTGCGGGTACATGCTTGAAGGGGTGAGGGAATGCATGCGACCGCCGGTAGCGGCAACCTGGGAATCTGAGCATGGCAGGGGGGCTCCCTCTGGCTGCTCGCCTCCCGACGGGCTCCAAAGAGGCCAGGTCGGCGCTCCTCACCACCCTGCGCGGGAAATTCAAATGCAGCTGCTGGTGCCACTTCTGGAGCTGGAGGCACCAGTGGCGGCATCAGCCCGCTGGGGACGGCGAGGAGCGCCAACCCCGGTCTTGTTGGAGCCCGCCGGTAGGCGAGCAGCCGGAACACCTGGCCGTGCTCTGGCTCCTGAGCATCGAGCCTGCCTCCAGCCATGCTGGTGACGGAGGAGCTGGGGAGAGTCTCCCATCCCAGCTATTTCCACCCTCACCGAAGAGCACCCCCTGAGGGCGGCATGGAGTGGGGGGGTGGACTGGTCGTGAGGGTAGCAACCTCCCTCCCCAGCGTCAGCCCCCTCGAGCCAAGCAGTGTCCAAGACTCGCGGCTAGATGGAGATGAAAAATCACTGCAGAAGTGGTAACGGTGCCGTGAAGCGGGAGGAGACTGAACTCGCAAGCGAGGCGGGAAACCTCGGGCTTCGTTCGCACAGGCTCTTCCCACTCCTACCCCTCCCACCATCAGAACCTTCTCCTCGGCCCTTCCTTCTGCATGTGTACCACTCCGGCTCCTCTCCAGCCCTGTTGTCACCTCCCTCCTCCTCCCCCCGCGCCTCCCTCCCTCGCCCACCCCTCTCCACTCTATCCCAGGAGTTCTGAGCTCCTCTTCTCCCTCTGCTGCTTCGAAGCTCTGCAGGGGGGTAGATCCTCTTTCCGCTTCTGCAACGAGACGGGAGTGAGCACTCCTACCACTGCCAAGAGGAGGAAGAGCTTGGCAACAGGCTGGAGCAGTTCGTCGAAGATCTGCAGGGGGGTGGATCCTCTTTCCGCTTCTGCAACAAGACGGGAGCCAGCACTCCTGCCACTGCCAAGAGGAGGAAGGGAAGAACTTGGCAACAGGCTGAAGCAGTTCCTCTCTCTCTTTTTCTCTTGGGGAGAGATCCACACGGCCGAGGGAAGAGTGCCTTCCCAGGGACTTTTCTCTCTAGTCTTTCCGAAGGCTGTCTCTTTTCCATTGGGGCTGCTGCCATTGTAGAGACTTAGCAAGGTGGAATCGGGACTTAGATATTTCTCTTGGAGATTTCCCCTTCTTCCTCTGCAATCGCTAGGAACACGGGCCTGTGGCTTTGCTCTGTCCATGCTCAGCCTCTTGGCCACCTCCATTGCCGCCGCCGCTGCCAGGCCACAAAGACAGACCTCACACACACACACACACACACACACACATTGCCGCTGCCAGGCCACAAAGACACACAAACACACACACTCTCCTCCCCACAGCTGCTTTGCACGCGGGAGGGGGCATGCGTGAAGGGGTGAGGGAGCACTCACCCCCACA